TCCAGGTTTCGAACTGGCTCAGTACGGGCCATTGCAGCCACTTGGGGAGTGAATCAGCAGAGAGAAGATCTTCCTCTCTGTGTCTGACTTTCCAACACCAAAGAGCTACTGGCTCCTCTGATAGGCTCAGCTCTGGCCATGGTGGCCATTTGGGGAGTGAACCAGTGGACGCAGATATTTCTCTGTCCTTCTGTTATCTGCTTTTCCAATAAGATTAAGTAAGTATATCTTCAAAAATAAAAGGCAGCAGGGGCAGCTTACAGTGGTTCAGCTGCCGTTTGACACACCCAGGCTGAGACATGGCACCACGTGGTAAAGTGCCTAGGTGGGGGGCTGCGGGGCTCAGGTCCCACTCTGCTCCTCATGGGGCTTCCTGCTAAGACACACCCTGCAAGGCATCAGGTGCAGGCTTGGACACTGGGTTCCAGGACGCTGCTTCACCCGGCCTAGGCTGCTAAGACACTCAGGGGACTGAACCAGCAGAGGGGAGCCGTCTATCTCTCTATACATCAAAAACACCAAAAATACCTACGAAAAGAGGGCAAAGACTGTGCTTTCCACTATCTACAAATGCTTTTTTTTTTCCTTTAGAATTCTTTTCTTCCAGGGGTTGAAGGACAAGGGGTTAAGAAGGCACAAGGCCATGGTCGTCCTCCACTGGCTTGTGTGTGTTCACACTGGCAGCTGCTGCCAGCTCCTGCAGGGGGGACCTGCCCCCACAGCAAGGACACAGTTCTTAAGAAAGCCAGCCGAAAGGAGCAAACATAGGTAGGGTGACAGACTACGCCCCACTGTGAACAGGCGGCTCAGATTTCAGGAAAATTGTTTGGGTGAACGCTCTATTTTTTTTTTTGAAAATGGAAAATATAATCAAAATCTAGCCTGAGCGGAGGCCTTTCTTCAGATGGGCACTGCAAAGGCTTAGCGGCTAGAAAACAAGGGGGAGACAGGGCTGTCACGGCTCCAGTCGTGGCACTGCTCTCCTCATGCCTCCCAGGCCAGACCCACGCCTTTCTTGAGCTGGGCACATGAGCACAGTGGGTGGACATCCTCAATATCGCTCCATCGGACATGCAGAAATTTTATGTGATGCGACTTCTCTCCCAACAAGAACAAAGGTATTTCCTCTATTCCTCTCAATAATTTAGCATGTGGCTTAATAAATAAATCAAGTGGTCCCCCACGTGCTGGATAGGACAACCTATACCCAGGACATGCAATTAATCCAGAGGGCTGTACACTCACCCAGCACCAACTTATTTCAAAAGATGCAGAGGGGATTTTTTTTAAAATGAACTATCAAGACCCCATTGCCTGTCCAAGTGACCCAAGGCAGACAAAGCAGGAGGCCGTCTGTACCCCTCTCCCTCCCAGCCATGTGACCTCCGATCAGGGCTGCTTCGCCAGATGCCACCACACCAGGACGGGTGGGGTCCCGCATGCATTAGTGATAATGGTTATTGATCCGGCATCCTGACAAAGCTGGCCGGAAAAATGGACTCTTCAAAAGAGCCGATTCTCCCAGGAAGACTTGAAAGGTCTAGAATAATCAGGCCAGCCTCTTGCTCCGCTGGACAAACCCCTCCAGGTTACTGCTGTCTAGTCTGGGAATCTAAGGCAATGACTAGGTCAGAAACTCTGCTCCTACCCCTCCCTCCCACCCTACTTAGAAGACTGACTTCCCGAGGAGCTACGTGAAGCCAAAGCCTGGTGGTCCCTCTTCCTCGCGAGGGGTGAGGGGGAAGGTGGAGAGGGACACCTCAAGACCCCAGTGGATGCTGGAAGCTCAGATGGTCTGAAATCTCACAACCACTGACCTCTCTACACCCTCCTGATCAAGTTTAAATATGAGGCACAGGAAGAGATGAATAATAAAACAGCAATTATGATAGACTCCAATAAACGTTCAAAGTGATAAAGAGTGTATTGCTGGAATTTTCCATCTAGTACTTATCACTGGTTGAGGGTGAGTGAAACCATGCAATGTGAGACTTGGGGAGTGGGGGTGCTGCCGACGCGGTGTCTCCCAGAGGAAACCCCAGGGGCTCACCCACATCCTCGGAGACCTCACCTTCCTCTTGCCTTCTCACTACACTAAGGGCTTCTCTCAAACACATGGACCCCAGACGCTAGCGGTACGTATCACATGGTCCACCCAAAATGTTTAAAAAATAATGTTTTAAACCAAGACCATGGAAAATGGCATGACCAGGCTATCTATCTTGGTACCACAATAAATAAATACTTTCACAAATTTAAATGGACATTGTAAAATAAAAATCTAGACACAAATGTCAAATTTTTGTCATCACACATCGTTTCATTCTATTTTCCTCAAACATTTTGAACTATTCTGCATACAACTCAACCCATGGGATAATTTCACAAAACTCAAATTCTACTCCCTTTCTCATTAAAATTTCAGCATTAGGAGACTCATTTGGGTTGTGGTATAGAACTGAGGTTTTTCTTCATGCTTCCCCAAGTTCTCCAGGATGACTTTGGATAAACTTGGGAAGGAAAGGGGCAGCTGCTTCATGTATTATGTAACCCTCCTGGCAACCTTTTCAAGTGGGTATTGACCCATTTCACAGATGAGGAAAATGAAGGTCAGAGGTGAACCTATTTCCTCAGTTAACAAAGACAGCTTTGGGGACAAAAACAAAAATCTTGATTTTTTTTTTTTTAAAGGAATGGTTTTTTCCTCTCTGCTCTGTCATGGGGTCTGAGCAGAGAAACTTCTCCAACCCTCTGTGAAGGGCCCCCAATTCCTTAATAGCTCCTGAAAACAGTCCAACAGAAAGCACTAATTGGTTAAGGTTTTTGCTTAAAAGCTGTCGATTATTTGCAATAAATCTAAGTTCCATCCCATCCATCCCACCCCTGTGCTGGGACCACGTCATAATTTTTAAAAAAATAAATGCTAAATGATCTTCTAAATGGTAGAAGCACGACAAGAGACGAGGGTGAAGGTCTCCCCAGAGGTCATGGGATTTGCACGTTCAAGCGAAAAAGGGAACCTGGCCTTTTCTGGGCCAGCCCTTGGGTGCTGGAAGGCCAAGTGCTCCCCGGCCACTTTCTGCACTCCCTGGGCCCACGGCCAAGTGCACACTCCTCCCAGCCCTGAGGTGCATTGCAGCCACTGTGTCATTGTGCGTGACATCACTGGGTTGCTATGGATCTAGGTGCGAGGTCACTCACTCTCCTGCAAAACTAGAAATATGGGGGAAAAAAATTAGAAGTCCAAAGAACACCAACGGAAGGTATTTCCAATATTGCTTATGGATGACAAGTGCAAATTCGACATGAAAACCATGGTGATGTAGTAACAGAGCAGCATTTCCACATTTCAAAACTAATTCTCTTCTTCAGTAACATAATTTTTTTTTTTAATTTTTTGAGTTAATACACATGTAGCCGGCGTAAATCAGAATGAACGCACCAGCTTTGTCTTCTTCGGTGCACCAGCCCAGGTATCCAAGAATGACTGGGATCCTCACAAGGTCTACTTCTAAAGATTTAACCGTGAGGTACACCCTGCAGCAACCCGAAGAGACGCATGGTAAAGCCTTTGTTACATAAGACAAGCAGTGAAATCATAAAGACGGTAGAAGACCTCAATCATTTTTTTCCCCCACGTTTCATTAAATCGTATTAAGTCTTATCCCCCTCCCGGGATAGCAAACTGGTCACCAACCCATTAGAGGGCAAGGTGGTGCCCCCGCCCCCACCCCGGGACAAAATGGTGCAGCCCAGATAAAATGCGACAACTGCCCGAGGAGGCATTAAAAGTCACCAAAACCTAACCTCCAATGTGGCTCACACACACAAACAAAAAAAAAAACCTTTGCTAAAAAAAAAAAAAAAAAAGACCTTTTCCCCTTTAAAACAACCCCTCCCTGCCTCCACCCAGGCAGGCTAGGCGCTCTGCAATATGACAAATGCAGAATCTTCTGGAATGACTGGATACTGCCTCCCACCACCGCTTTGTTTGCAATATCGGATCGGAGCGTATGTATATACATATATATTTCTCCCTCCCCACTCAACTTACAGAAATTTTAAGAACCGAGCCTGAGGGTGGAAAAAGAAACTGCTAGTCGTCACAAATGGGACCCCAGTCCGCTAAATCCACCACCTTTATTTTAAGGGCAATACCTACCCTTTTCACTGCCAAGAACATTTTTTTGTGTGTGGGGGGGGAGGTGGGGAGAGGAATGAGAGATGACAGATTGAGAACAATCAATGGAAACGCAAGCAGACGAAAGTGTCTCCCCCTCACCACCCAAATCCCCACCCGCAGCTCCCCTTTCCTTAAAAACCAGCAGACGAGATCGGGGGAGGATGGAGAAAGAACAGCCTTTTGTTAAGAAAAAACGTGAGCCGCGAGGTTTCGATTTTGCACCACGAGCCATCCCACACCCGCACCCCACCCCGGGAGATTCTAAAGGTTCTGGCCGGGCAGGGTGTGTGTGTGTGTGCTGGTGGGGAGAAGGCAACCTGGAAGCAGCTCGAGGATGGGGGGTGAGGGTGCTTGGAAAACGGGGGAGACCTGCCGAGTAAATGGAAAAGGCGCCGCCCAGACACCAGGGAAAAAAAAAAAGAGGAACCGCATCCATGCGGTCCCCCGCCCCCACGCCTGGCTGGCAGGCTGGGGAGAGGGGGAAATGGGGCACAAAGGATGCGCACGGCACCCCGCACCCCCGGAGGAAGGAGAGAACCCCCAGACGCCCCCCGACCCCCGCCCCATAGTCCCGGCTCCCCAAACCAGCCCCGCGCGACCCCGCCCAGTGCCAGCGCCTCGGCCGCGTCACCACCCGGGGGTCCCCCCCGCCGCCACCAGGACGCCCCTTTCCCCAAGCTCGGGGAGCCCCGACACGGGGCGGCACCCTCCCCTGCACTCGCCGACGGCCAGGCGGGCTCGCCGGGGCCTTCCCCGCCCAAGGACCTCGTCCCCGAGAGGGACTGGGAAGCGTGGGGGGAGGGGAGGAGACACTCACGTTCTTCATGGCCGCGGCCATGTCGTCGTAGCGCTCCGCCTGCTCGGCCAGCCGGGCTTTCTGCACCAGTTGCTCGCGGTCCACCATCTTCGCGGGGCTGGGTCAGGAGGAGACCGGAGTGGCCTGAAGGGCTTTGGAAGGACGGAGAGAGGGGAGCGGCTACGGCTGGAACTCGTGTGCCGGAAGGTACCGACCCACGAAGCCCGAGGCTGGGGCGGCCGAGGCGGCGAGGACAAGGAGGAGGAGGAGGAGACGGCACGAGCTGCGACCGTGCGACCGGGCGCGAGGCGGCTGCGGCTGCTGTGCGTGCCGCGGGCGGACAACCCCCTGCGGCCCCGCCCACGCCGCGTGACGCACGCCGCCCCGCCCACTCGCCCCGCCCAGGCCCCGCCCGGACACTGGAGCGGCGCGAGCTACCGAACCCCTACTCGGCCCGCTTCCGCCTTCTCCTGTGCCCCTGCAGCACTACCCACCCACCACCCACCTTTTCTTTTTTTTTTTTTCCCACTGCACCCCGACTTCTTTGCCTGAGCTTCTTCAGACTCCCCTGCCCCCACCTCAGACGCCTCCCACCCCCGGCAGGTCGAGGCTCAGGCGCGTGGGCTCCTGGGAGTTGTAGTTCCTAGTGCGGCGCGCCAAGGTGTTGAAGAGACCGAAGACAAAAGGACGGTCAAGACTACATCTCCCAGTGTGCGTAGAGCGCACGCCAGGGAGGAGGAAGGATGGGGGGCTTCTCACCGAGCAGACACGGGGGACCCCTGGCGGGGATGAGGGCGGCCTCATGTCTGAGCAAGTGCTGATTCACGGCCTCGCCCCACATCCTTACGATGGGAGGGGCAGGGCCTCAGCCTAGACCCTGTTTTTAAGCAGAACGGGCGGTTAGGGGGTGGACAGGACCCAGGAGGGAGAAATGAGGGGGCGTGATGGCTGAATGTAGGGGGATGGCTGAATGTGCCGAGGGTGGTCGCCTCCCCTTCTGCACGCCACCTTGAGGTTCTGACAAGGGGGGCGCCGGCATATAGAAAGAGAAAACGCCTGCTGGGCACGCTGGTTACCCTCCAAAAAACGGGGTGGACCTCCTATGGAGGCTGCTCAAGATTTCAGGCTCATTACCCAGAGCCATGCCTCAGCCTGGTGCCTGGTCCTGGGCCACTCTTCCCCACACCCCACCACCACCACCATCACCTCCACCACCTAAGCCGAACCTCCTGAGCTAAGGCGGACACATTCTGGGGTCCTATGCTTCCGTGTGGCTTGTGCATGTTAGGAAGAAAAAAAAAAGTAGAAAAATAAAGGGAGGGACAGGAAGTGTGTATAAGAGAACCTAAAATGAGTTTCCTGTGAGAGAATATTCCAGACTGTGCTAAATACTAGAGGAACCTGTCCTCATGGAACTTAAAATGTCTGAGAGACTCTGAAAAAGCTCCCCCAGGGCAATCTCTCAATCCCAGCCATTAAAAGCTTGCAGGATTTCAGAATGGATGCAGGCAAAAACTGCCAGCAGGAGATGGGGCTGAGTGAGGGGACCAAGGCAACAGATAGTTCTCCTTTTTCTCCTCCTCCAGCACAGGATCTGGCCTGGCCTCTCCTTAACCATGTTGCCAAGCCAAATGCAACCCTGCTGCTGAATATAAACTCTCCCACTTCCTTCTGTCGCTTGACAGTGTCATTCTTCGCTCCCTTTCCTCCTCTAGGACCACACTCGGCCCCAGTGTCCGGCTGCTCCGTGAGAAACGGGCCACTCCCAGAGGCCACTCAGCTTACCACACATATGGATCGGATGTGTCCGTGAATCAGGCCCCAGATGCGGAATCCTGGCTTTTTCTCTGGCCATCTCGACTTCAGTTCCTTCCCCCATGCCCCTTGAATGCACTTGAGGGATGGGGGGGCGGGGAATGTTGGAGAACAGCTCAGGCCAAATGTGTTTGGGAAAAGTAAAGCTGATACAAAGATGCCCCCAGGCATCCGCTGTGTCCCCGTACAGGAAGCTAGCAGGGGAGATCTGGCCCTCCCTGCCTCCACTTCCCTTTGTAAATTTAAAGACTTCTGGCTTCCAGTGGCCCCTTATGTTTCAGAGGTGTTAGGGCATGACCCGAGCTGCAGCAAACCTGGAGCAGGAAGCAGAGTAAAGGAAGCCCTCAGGCGTCCTTACCCAGCCCCCATCCTCTCTTCTCTCTCTCTCTCTTTCTATCTATCTCTATCTCTCCCTCTCTCTCTGTTTCCATCTTCCCAACTTCAGAAATGAAACCTGCTACCCATGAGCTCTGAGCACCCCCGCCAGCTGCGATGACTCAGCGCTAGATTCCTCCGCCTGTTCTTAGGAAAGCCAAGGCCCCTTTTAGCTGTGCAGATGGGGGCCGTGGGTCCTTGAGGAACTTCTAGTAGCACAGGTGCTGGTTCCACCTGCTCAGGAAAAGGGGGCTTTGCCCTTTGGGAACCAACCCGACATACCAGGCAACCCATTCGTGTTCGCCAGTGATGAAGGACATGAACCCTTAAGATGCTTCCTCTGGGGGCCAGTGCAGTAGCCTAGTGGCTAAAGTCCTTGCTTTGCATGTGCCAGGATCCCATATGGATAACCGGTTCTAATTCCAATGGCCCTGCTTCCCATCAAGCTCCCTGATTGTGACCTGGGAAAACAATTGAAGACAGCCCAAAGCCTTGGGACCCTGTACCCACAGGGAAACCTTGAAGAAGCGCCAGGCTCCTGGCTTCTGTTTGGCTCAGCTCTGGCCATGACAACCACTCTGGGAGTGAATTAGCAGATGGAAGATCTTCCTCTTTATCCTCTTCTCTGTATATCTGACTTTCCAATAATAATAAATGAATCTTAAAAAAAAAAAAAGGTGCTTCCTCTGCCTGAGCTGGCCAATCAGCCAGCTGGGGGACGTTGATGACCCACCAGTCATAAATCAGCCCTGACTCTGGCTCCTCCTGTGGCTGGAGCGCTCCTTGATTAGCATAGAAGCAGCATCTGCGGAAGCTGGCTAACACTGTTCCTAGCCATGTCCCATGCAGAACGCCCCTCTCCTCACCCCACTCTGTCCTCCCACCCAGTGCCCCATGCTGTCCCAGTCCAGGTTTGCAATAAAAGCAGAGAACATGACAGGCGCAAAAAGCGAAGGTGATATACTCCAGATGATGGCTTAATTGGCTAACTCTCTGTCTGCAAGCACCAACATCCCATATGAGCACTGGTTCCAATCCCATCAGCCCTGCTTCCCATCCAGCTCCCTGCCCGTGGCCTGTGGTCCCAAAGCCTTGGGACCCTACACCTGCATGTTTGAACTGGAGGAGGTTCCTCGGTCCTAATTAGAGTGTGCCTAGAGGCAGAACCCAGGAGTGGAAACCCTGACTGTGCACTTGACATTGCTGGGCAATCTTGGCCAAGTCACAATACCTCTTTCTGGGCCTCAGAGGCAGGTGGTGTCAACATATGGAGCCTCCTGTCCCCATGTTGTCCTACCCTCCCCAGTGAAAGGTCTTTCTCAGGGCACATCTGCCTCCTCCTTGTCTTGTGCATCACCAAGTGCACCCCGCTTCCGATTTGTCTTCCTCCCTCCCACTGGAATTCAGGGCATATCCTGGGAAACCCAGCCTCCCAATTACATACATACAGAAATACATATTCTATCTTGTTTTTGTAATTTTTAATGATTTCTTTTTATTGGAAAGGAAGATTTAAGAGAGAAGGAGAGACAGAGAAAAATCTTCCATCCACTGGTTCACTCCCCAAGTGGCCACAACAGCCAGAGATGAACCAATCTAAAGCCAGGAGCCAGAAGCCAGGAGTTTCTTCTGATCTCCCATGGGTGTGCAAGGGCCCAAAGACTTGGCGCATTCTCTGCCACTTTCCCAGGCCATAATGAGGGAGTTGGATGGATGTGGAAGGGCTGAAACATGAGCAAGCATCCATATGGGATACCAACTCTTGCAGGCAGAGGATTAGCCAATTGACCCATTGATTGGACCAAGCCCTAATTTAAAGTGTTTTGTTGTTGTTGTTGTTGCTATTGTTTTGCATGTGAACAAAGTGATTGATCCATCCCCTCTAGTTTTCCAGTGATGGCATGGGAATCAGGGGGCAGGAACTAAACTGGCCAGTAGCTCCTGGAAGATGCTGAGCGGAGGTATTTCCCCCTCCTCCGATCTGGAATAGAAGCTCAGGCTTAACGTAGACCCAGCAGTGGGATCAGACACCCTGGGAGTTTGCAAAGCTCTCTGGAGGGTCACCTGTGGCTGACCCAGGTGACCTCAAAAGGCCATCCTCACATGGAACTGGTGTTGTGGCATGGCAATTAAGCCTCCACCTGCAGTGTCAGCATCCCATATGGGTGCGAGTTTGAGTCCTGACTGCTTCACTTCTCATCCAGCTCCCCACTAATATGCCTGGGGAAACACTGAAGGATGTTTCAAGGCCTAGGACCCTGCATCCATTTGGGAGAGCTGGAAGAAGCTCCTGGCTTCAGACTGGCTCAGCTTCGGTCATTGTGGCCATTTGGAGCGTGAACCCCTGGATGAAGCTGTCTCTTTCCTGTTTAACTATCTGTCTACTCTGAAGGAAGCTGACTGAACTGGGCTGCCTGAAAAGGAAGCGCTGGGACCATGAAGCCTTTCAAACACTGCAGGAGGGGATCGGGAGAGCTGGCATCCTGTGATGTTGGCTGTTCTGCCGCGTCAGCCCGGCACTAATGCTCACAGAGCACAAATCCCACTTGGTCTCATAATAGGAACACCGGTGCTGACGCAGCAGGAGGCCAGCAGCCCAGGATGCCGCAGGGGCAGGCGCTGGTGCCCCGCACGAACAGTCTGCTCACAACCTGCGGTCCAGCAGAGGCACAAAACACCCAGCAAACAGTCCTTTGGCAAGCAGCAGCGATATTGCAGTAGTCTTGGGCCTACATTGTCATCTCGCTGGCCAAGGCAGCCAGCTGCCTTCCTGGTCCTGGTGCTTGATGAACCAGGGTGTTGGTGAACTAGAAGGAACTGCTTAAGAACTTGTCCAGGAGGGGTGGCCCTGGCACAGCACCTATCGCTTTGCTGTCGCCCATGGCTGATCGCTTCCAGCCACGGGCGTTTTGCCACTTCCTAGGGTCCACCTTCAATGTCCCCTAGTCCTTTCTCCCCAAAATTCCTCATTCTACAAGGCTTGCCCTTCTCCCCAATAGCCTTTTCTGTCTGTTTTTTTTTTTTCTTCTAATATTTATTTTTATTTGAAAGAGAGATCTTCTGTCTGCTAGTTTGCTGTCCAAATGGCTGCAATGGCTAGAACTGGATGGATTTGGAGCCAGGAGCTAGGAGCCTCCTCCAGGTGACCCCTCCCCTTGCTATGGATACATAGGCACAAACATGTG